AGCCTAACCCCTGACTCCAGAAAGACTACACAGCAAACCCTTCTGGAAGTCATGTCCAGACATGAATGATAACATCATGGTGACTGGAAACAGTCACCTTGGATTTACCAAAGATGCAGTGTGCCTGAAAAACATCACGTCCTTCTATTGAGAAATCACTGGATGTGTGGCAAGGGGAGAGCAGGGGCTTTTCTTTACTTTCGTATCAGTCAGGCTTTTGGCACAATCTCTTACAGTCTTGTAGCCAAATTGGAGAGATGTGGTTTGGATAGGTGGATTACAAGATTGATGGAAAATTGTCTGGGCTATGGGATTCTAAATGTTGGGATCATCAGTATTAAAACCGAGTGGCAGCTGGCCACTCTAGGAAGTTTTCCAGGTTTGATACTAAAGTGAGTTTTTTTAATATCCTCATTAATGACTAATCCACACTTACTCTATCAAATCCACATCACTGTATCATATTTGTGGACAATGCCAAGTAGGAGAAAGCGATGAATATACTCAGTGGTAGGATATCTGATTCAGAGGGATCTACCTTGGGAACTTCAATCAAAGCAAAATCTTACATCTGTACACACAATAAACACACACAACAGCAGAGGCAGAGAGCTGACTGAAGAGAAATCACATTTGCAGAAAAGGATCCGAGGTAATTTTGATACTTTTTGACAAGTTGAACATGAGTCAGCAGTAGATCTTTTTGCAACAATGAAGACTACACGCTGTGCTATGTTAGAGAGTGTGCACCCATCAGGTCAAGTGAAATTGTTATTCCCTCTCTATTTGGTTCTGGAGAATGACTGTCCAATTTGGGGATCAATATAAAGCACTAAAATACTGAATAACACCTAGTGGAAGACCACTAAGATGATTAAAGCTGTATTTGTTCAGTCTCAAGCAGAGAAGGCCAACAGGCATGATCACTGTCTTCATCTACCTACTGAAGATCATAAAAAAAACAAGCTGGACTTTTCTTGAATGTACACAGCAAAAGGATGAGGGAAAGTGGATGTATGAGTTATGAAAACATTGCAATGAAACATTAGGAAAGATTTCACAGTGAAAGTCAACCCTTAAGAAGGGACCAGAAAAGGTAGAATTTCCATCCTTACAGGTATTTGAAATGCTACTGGATATGAGCTGGAGCAACAAGATCTTACTTTGCTGGTTGACCCTGCTCTGAGCTGGAGGCTGAAGCAGATAATCTCCAGACCTCCCACTGAGTCTGGAGATTCCTCTGATTCTACCATTGCAGGGAGCCAATCTGGGTACTCAAAACATGATGGAACTGTCTCCGGTGCAGATTAATCTGCTGAGAAGGTGTCCAAATAAAGAATTCTTTCCCTCTTGCCAAAGCGTTAAGTGGTGCACATTCGTATTTTGGGTGAGAAAGGACTCTACCCATATAAAACAAAAATGCATGAAAATAGTGCGAAAGGTAGTTTAAAAGGAATTTAGGATACTTCCCTAAACAACATCAGCTGCAGTGCACAACGCTTATGTTATCAAAAAAAAAGCCCAGAGCTAAACTCGTAACAGCTTAACGTAAAAGTCTGTCGTGTGGATTGTCTTTTCCTCTCTTAGCAAGACCACTGTTAAACACTTAGCAAATGGTAGTAAAGAACATCAGACACGACTGTTTTCTAAAGAGTCACCTGGAATGACCTAACGCTATTTCACATCATTTTATTTCCATCCAAATGTACCAAGACTACTAATTACACTGTAGTTTTTCTAATTGCTTCATTTGAAACCAGACCTCTGGCACCTAAGAAACCTCAGCTGTACTTGCTCCACACAGATTAAGGCATTCTCAGTTTCTGATTTGATATTTTCTAAGTCCTGTCAAATGTACTACAATACTACAGACCTAAGGTGAGCCTTAGGTGAAAATAATACTGATGATGCTATACTTAGATGGTAAAAAACCTGTAGACTGAACATTAAACAGTTGAAAAATATGAAGACAAGTGAGGAAATCTTGGTAACAGTTTCCACTTGTTGCAATAGATTAATATCAATGAAAATTGGGTCAAGATTTGTACTAGTAAACCAATGCAAATGCTGAACTGATTCTGGAACAGTAAAATATTTATTCCGAAAGACAGTCAACCGCCCCAACAATTTACAAGCCCAGAAAGCAAATACAGTTAAAAAAGAATAAGCTACATTTTTGGGAACTGCAGCAGAGGTTTGTTTAGTACAAAAGGCAGAGGTAGTTCAGTGCTCAAGAAACGGTTTGTTTGTTTGTTTTGTAATAATGGTATATACTTCTTAGTGCTGCCAAAACTCCCTTGTGGTATTAAGCTTAATGGGTTTTATTTAAACCTACAGTTGCTAATTACTACTGAATTGCTGGGACAGAAATTCATTACCTTGTAAACTGATCTATATTTTAAATTAACAGACAAGTACTTCCACAGCCAAGGTGAGTGCATTAAACTTTCTGACCTACAATGCAAGACTAATACAGCAGAAAGATGTGACTACACAACAAACCAACACCAAAAGCTCCTGCAGTATTTATGAACTGCTACACCAACAGGTCCTCCTGCCCCATGAATGAGATGGTGAGTATAGGAAGTACCTGAGGTTCCTCTCCTCCTCCACTGAGGATGCCCTGCCCAGACACCTGCAGCAGCAAAGCAGAGCTGCCATGTTTCAAATCAGCGGTTCATGGAATGAGGGGCATTTTTGTGTGAGAATATGTGATCCACAAGATTTGTATGAGCTACTACTAGCTCTGCCTGAGCTCCACACTGAGGGGCAGTTAGTGCCTTTCACATACACCCAGAGACACTAAAGAAATCAGACTGGCTGGGGTATCACAGGAAGAAGGATAAAATTAAGCAACCCACGGCAAGTCTAAAAACTCAAATATCTCAACAGAGTCAAAGTATTGGGTTATTGCAACAATGCTTTTTTTGGTACCAGTAACAGCCTGAAGAAGACTGAAAAAATGCTGCCTATAAGAGCAAAAATGATTAGGTGAGAACAGGACAACAGCTGAAGGACAACAGTGGGTCAAGAATATAAAAAGCTTCCGTATCTGTAATGTGGGTTTCCCTATCACAGCATCGCAGCACCATTTTGCATTATGAAATTTTTCTAAAATAAATTAATCCAATTGAGTTGGATGTTACATACTACAGAGGAACTGAAAAGCTAAGAACTAGAGAGGGCTAGTTAAGCCCAGCAGCCAGTGTCAGAAATTAGATCAATTAATAATGATCAATATATTAATAATGATTAATAATGATTCTAGTGATTTTTCTTTGCAGAAAGAAGAATTTCTTTATTTCTAGTCATGAAACCCAAATCATTTCCTATTCTGAAAACTACTAAAATTCGAGCTTTGAAAGTGGTAGTGGATGTGCTTGTACAGCGGGAGGGAGATAAAAGAAAAAAATTTTGCACTTCCAAAAAACAAGAAGTTTAACTTTCTTTTGCCGTAGTTAATAAGCATTTGTCCACAAGAATATTACAGAAAGTTCAACTATCTTGTGAAGATTTACTATGGAAAATATGGAAAGGTAGGTCTAACATTTAGGTGTAAATACGTGATTTCAGACCAGATTTAAGTGAAGGTTTAAATGCATTCTTAATTACCAGTTTGCAACCAATGGTCCTATAACACCTCATCATAAAAATTTATGAAATTCTTTTCACAAGATCACACCAAGGAGGTTTAAAAACACATTAGCATACAAGTACAACAACAAGGGCAAAACCATGTCACAAAACTATTAAAACAACAGCAAATATGGACAGTTAAACTTATTAACACTTAAAGATTGCAAATAAATGTGCATAAATTCACAGTACAACACTGCATACAATATAATATATACAACCCTGCTATATCAGCACTTAGGAGAACAATTACAACAGGGAAGCTGACAACTGCTTTTCTCTAAATTCAAGCAGTCCCCATTTTTCTAAATAAATGGATTATGAAAAATACAATACATCTCTGAGTGTTGAAGACAAATTAAAATATTGGAAACATTTTAAAAGTTAAGAATCCATCAATTATTCTCTAAAATAAACATTTTATCTACTTATTTCCTTTGTTCAGTTATTTTTGTAGATTATACTTCCTTTTTACTGAGTATTTACAGATATTACAGCCATAGAAAGATTTAAATAATCCTATCTTTGTACTTTACAGATTGAAGAAACAATGTTCAAAATTGTGGTCTGGTAAAACTTCATACTTTAATCTCAATACTATATTAGTATTTAGTCTAGCATATTTATTTTTAGATTTGAATCCATCTTTAGTAATTGTCCCCAACTGCAGACTGCCATTCAAACTGAAAATTTAACAGCATCTTTTTAATTCATAGCACATTGTCTTCTGAATGTGTTAAGATTCAATAGATGTTCCTCTTAACAAAGGAACGGTCTTCCTCAAACTGTCAAAATATAAAAGCCTTTACCAACTCACACACTTGTAACAATATTCACATTTGATGGTCAATATTCTTTTTTTTTTTAAAACCTGAGGTAAGTTTTGAAGAGAAATAACAACAGGCACCTTACCTCAGTCTGTAGTGCTGATATTTAGTGGGCTAAGCATAAACATAATACACTGTGTTCAAAACAGTATATGTCGGTTTTAAAAGAGACACAAGTAAAAACTGTCAGGGAACCTAAACTCTACAGCCAGAGTTAAAATAATAATAATAATAATTAGTAGTAGTAGTAATAATAATACTAATAACTAAACAACAAAACCCCAAACAAAAAACAAACAAAAAACAAACAAACAAACAAAAAAAAAACAACAAACAAACAAAAAACCCCTAAAAAACTCCAAGAGCACTTGTTTCCTAAAAGGTAATTCTGATATAGTTAAGTGCAAGAAGTATTTATCTCCAAGTTTGATGGTACTCATCAGACATTCTGCATTTAGTAAAGCAATCTAGAAATTTAAGCCTTGTGATGTCAACGTGACATTTCCTATTTTATGCAAATTATTTTAACTTTGTTACCTTATTTACTTCCATAATTTCCCTTCTCTCTTCACTAGCAAACCGAAGCTGACTTGCAGCACCACGATCATCATGCTTAGAGCCATCTTCTTCAACATATGGAATAAGTTGCTGTGAAGACAAGAAATATTAGCTTTACTAAAAAAAAATCAAAATTAAAAGAAGAAATTAAAAAAAAAAGAAATCAAATGCAGGAGATACAGAAGGTACTACCATTTTCTTCCACAGGTTCAAACTGCTCAAGAGAAGGTGGACACAAACTTGTCACCTCAAACCCAAAGGCCTTGGAATGACCTCATCTGGTTCTCCAGGAAAACGTTGTGCTTCAAAAGGACACAATCCCACTTATTACCATGCTTAGACCCAAGCAATGTCACAACTGCAGGCAAAACCCACACCTTCCCTGTCAAGATGTGTATCATGGATAAATCTTGTATTCTTGAACGATGCAGATTGTGATTTTAAATTTTACTACTCCACACTAAGAAATACCACAAAAAAGAGTTTGTCATTATTATAACATATCTTAGCAGAGGGGCAGGTACTGATCTCTTCACTCTCATGATCAGTGACAGGACTCGAGGAAATAGCATGAAGCTGAGTCAGGGGAGGTTTAGGTTGGATATCAGGAAAACGTTTTTCACCCAGAGGATGGTCGGGCACCAAACAGGCTCCCCAGGGAAGTGGTCATAAGCCTGCCTGAGTTCAAGGAACACTTGGACAATGCTCTCAGGCACATGGTGTAATTCTTGGGGTGTCCTGGGCAGGGCCAGGAGTTGCAGTCAAGTGATCCTGATGGGTCCCTTCCAACTCAGCATATTCTATGACTCTATGATTCTATACTAACCATAATTATGACTGGCTTTACATAGCTACTTGGTTAATACTCTAGTTATGACTTGCTCTTTTAGTTAACCTCTGTTTGGCTATTCTTAAGACCAGGCCTACAGTAACCTAAAGGGAGTTTTTCCTAAGTATTTCCCACTGTGATCTCCTCAGACACATAGAATCATAGTTTTGTTTAGGTTGGAAAGGACCATATTGTACTATCATTTCTGTAAGCTTCTACACAAGCCAAAAATCTTTGATGAAGTATTCCTAAATGAATACTACTGTATGTTTCCTTCCTAAAAAGAAAATAAATTAAAAAGAATCAGTAAATATAACAGGTGCAAAACAAATACATGCTTCTGTGTCATAACACTCCCAAGCTACTAACAATTAATAAAAAAATAAGCTGTAACATTTTATACATAGCATACATCCAGTGTCCACAGTGCAACACTGTTTTTTCTGTCCTGAACCGAGCAAAATTACATCCATGTTCCCATACACACTACAGAAAATGAAAGACTAATACTGATGAAAATGAGCAAGAAGACATTCGTTCAAAAGCCTGGGAGTAAGTTCCTCACCAAGTGCATATTAACTTGTTACTTACGTTGGGGTAAAATATTTCAAAGCATTCAGCATCCTCCTTCAGCATTCTGATAGAAAACTTACTTTGATTTAACCCACTGAAAATTTAATTTCCTTCTGTGCAAGAATTTCTGTAGTCTGTTCTTATTAAGCTTATTAAAATGGACAAAAACTACCACACCAAACTTTGCCCTGAAAACGTAGTAAAGGTTAACTACTTACTACATTTGCAGACCATAAAAAAGAAGTAGTGTGGCTCCTACTCTTGAAAAAAACTCCTCTCTCTGATGGAAAAATAAAGTAGCACTCAAAGTAGAACACTTCCTTTGAAAACTTCCCGTCTTTCAGAAAAAGTATTAGAAAAAAACCCAAACCCACAAAGAAAAGCCAAATTACACCTAACACACAAAAGCAGGAAATTTAAACCAGATCTGCTTCACCATTATCTCGTGTCTTGCTATGCTGGTTAAAAGAAATTTAGTAGTACCTATTATATTGCTAGTACACATTTACAAAAAATGTGAAAACATTTATAGTAATAATAATACACTAAGGGATATTAGTAGGTACTGACTTCTCTTGACTGTGTAAAAAAAAAAAAAGACTTTTGTAAATATTCTTTAAAGGTATGCTTAGAATGTCAGCCACAAAATAATATGATTGAGACTATTACTGAAATACTGAAAGAAGAAAGAAAACTGATCCCAGAGGAATGGTGTGCCACTGTCATTCACCCTAACCAGTAAAAACATGAGACAGGCAGGCACCTCCTAACTTCAGAGCAGAAAAGACTAAGCAGGTTAAAAAGAAAGAATTCCGAATATTGATACAAAACTCTGCTGCGCCTGTTATCAGTGAGACATCGCATTAAAAAGGCTTACTCATTTACCCTATTGCACACAAGTCACCATACCATGGAAAAAGTTTTATTCTTTAAAATGGGAAAGTTATCCTACTCCCTTGCTTGCTGTCAGGTTTCTCTGAAACACTTGGCAGTAACTGCTGACAGAAGTAGTAGTATCAATGAATGAACTTTATTCCTATTCAGTGAAGAGAGTGAAATACAAAATATAATGGTTATATGGTTAAAATTCAATGGCCAATCACAAGTCTGTTAATAAAGCTGCCTCCGAATCCAAAGATCAATATTTAAAGAACTTCATAGTTCTGGATAATTAGAGCAGTAGTAACTCTAGTCATAACACAAAACAGGGTTTAAGAGTATTAGTAGGAATTAGGAACAAATTAACTTATGAGGGGGAAAACAAAGTTTTGATTTTACTTGGAATAGCAGTTTTATTAGGAAAAACTTTGGCCAATACTCCTTCATGGAAGTCTGATGCTATAACTTTTCCATCACCACTGCACAATTAGGTTTGGTTCATACTGGTCCAGCAGGTTAGGAGCATCAGAATGAGGCAACTAAGGAGACCCAGACTGACGGTCAGAGAAAGAGAATAATGTTTATTAGTGAGGGAGCCAGGCTGACAGGTGAGAGCTTGAAGCAGGCTATTCCCCACTTTTTCCCATTTCTTTAAAAAAATTTACCCTGAATCCTTCATTTTCCTAGGGGAAACAAAATGATGAAGGAACCAAGAAGCTTGAGGAAAAAGGCTAAAATTTTAAATCAAGTTTGATTTTACAGAATCACAGAATCATTTAGGTTAGAAAAGACCTCTGAGATCTTCTCAACTAGACCAGGGCACTAAGTGCCACATCCTATCTTTCCTTAAACACCTCCAGAGATGGTGATTCAACCACCTCCTTGGGCAGCCCATTCAAGTGTTTAATCACCCTTTCCTAATGTCCAACCTAAACATCCCCTGGCACAGCTTGAGGCCATTTCCTCTTTTCCTGTCACTTGTTGCCTGGGAGAAGAGGCTGACCCCCACTTTGCTACAACCTCCTTCCAGGGAATTGTAGAGAGTGAGAAGGTCCCTCCTGAGCCTCCTTTTCTCCAGGCTAAACAACCCTCAGCCGCTCCTCGTCAGACTTGTGCTCCAGACCCTTCACCAGCTTCACTGCCCTTCTCTGGACATGCTCCAGCACCTCAATGTCCCTCCTCAACTGAGGGGCCCAGAACTGGGCACAGCACTCGAGGTGTGGCCTCACCAGTGCTGAGTACAGGGGGAAAATTTCAAAATGGGATTCAATTTCAAAATTGGATCCCTCCCAATTGGTAAGAATTGATGATGTTAACTTGAAAGTTTCACAATCTTTCAATGAGCTCTAACTAATAAACAGACTTCAGTCCACTTGATATCCAGTCTCATTAAAACTTGTTTGAGACTTGAGTCTCCTGCAACTGATAATGGATGATATGCTATGCAGAGAGTGGTTATTCCAAGCTGCGATGTATATATGTATATCTATATGTACTTACTTCTATGGGAACAGGATCGAGCCCAGCACAGTTTTCATTGCATTTGTCATAGACCAATCTCAGTTTTCTGAAGAGTATTGATAACTGACGGAGATGTTCCTGCAGCTTTCCCAATCTGTCTTGATATGTTGCAGTATGATAAGTAACGCCATTTGGTAACTTAAGAGAACCAAAACATAGAAAATATTAAAGCCTCTGTCACACAAAATAAACAGACCAAAAGAAATCAGATGGGGTTTTGTACATTTTAAAATCAGACATTATTCCTACAGCAACCACTGAAATTTTTATTTTCTTTACTGGCAAAATTCTGTATTTTATGTGCTCAATCGCTGCTATCAAACAGCTTCATGTATTCTACACTTTGATCACTGCCAATCCCTCTAACTCTTTTCAGTAATTGTCTTCACAATGTTTAAGTATGACGCTGTTGTGATCCAACTATTACACTTTGAGAGTTTGTGTCTCAGCCCCAAGCCACAAAATTCAGTAACACAAGAGTCATGAAAACAGAGGGAATGGGGGTCATTATTTATCTTCTGCTTTCCACAGAGAGAAAACACAACAAAAGTTTGTATGTTTTCTCAGTAAGTAGTCATATACAGGGATTATGTCCATTTTTACAAGGAAAAAAAAAGTTTTAGGTGGGAAATATTACCAAAAAAGATCAATGAGATTTCCTCTAAAATTACTCCCTGTACGTTAAAATAAACAGAGAAACATGACGGGCACATAAACGGACTTTGCTATTTATAAAGGAAAACACAGTTTGGGGTGTATTTAGTTTATTTATTGGGGGGGGCAACAGCAATTCAGCACATCTGAATATGCTACACGTTCACTTTATCTACAGGAGTAAACAAATACATTAAGAGTAGTATTCACTTCTCCAATCCATCCTTCTTTTTAAAGCAGTTTGATTGAGTTATCTAAACGTCCTAAGCCACCTCCTCTGTCTGTATATACTGGCAGTCAGTGACAAAATATGGGAAGCAAGGGCCATGAAAACAAAGAGCTGCTTTTCACCTGCATGTTCCTCAGTAACTGGAAGATTTCCATGGTTCGGAACACAATGTCCTGCACGGTCTCCTGGCCGATGCGGCAGAGGGAAGCCGTGTTCACCTCCCTGGCCGCCTGAGCCTGCGTGCCCGAGAAGGCGCCCGGCGGCATCCCCGCCCCAGCCAGAGGGGGGGTCGACATCTCCCGGCCTCAACCAGTCCGGCTAGGACGAGCAGAAAAGAGGAGGTTATGATGGAACGATCGAGTACTTGACTCTATCCCAGTAAACTTCTGAAGGACAGCTATCCCATTCCCTTTCTCAGCACGCGGCCCTATCCCAGGCAGAACTGCTCAGCTGACGAAGCCGGCTCAGCGCCGCACCCCTCGAGCCGGACCAACCCCTCGGTTCGGACACCGCTCCCTCACCCACCGCAGCCCTGCCGGGCGGTGGGACCGGGGATGCTCCTCACGCACCTCCGTGCCCTCAGCGCGGTCACCGCCCCGACCCGTCGCAAGAGGACACGGCAGTGACCCACCCGCTCCCGCCTGGGCCCTGGCCCCGCTCCGGGCTGCAGCCGCCCCGGCCCCGCTCCGGGCTGCTGCCTCCCCGTACCCGCCGCACTCCCGGGCCGCGGCACCGCGTCCCCTCAAAGCGCCGGCGGAAGCACTTCCCGGCGCCGGTGCCGTCACAGCCGGCGGGGCGGGAGCGGCGGGCGGGGCCGTGGGAGGCTGTCCCGGCCGATCGGTGCGGTCCCTGTGCCCGTCGCTCTCCTCCGTTGCTGGAGCCGGGTCGTTTTCCTGGCTTGCTGAATCCAGAGAGGACTTGCGGGCTGGTCAGCGTGTAGAGGTGTCGGCCCCGAGCCCTGCACGCGGCCTGTTGGGGTTGAAAAGTTTGGTCGGAATCCCCAGGCGTGTTCACACAAGTCACACCGCCCTTGTGCTACATCGTAGAATCATAGAACAGTCTGTGTTGGAGGTGACCCTTAAAGATCACTTAGTTCTGAATGCCCATACCCTGGGCAGGGACACCTTCCACTAGACCAGGGTGCTCAGAGCCCCCCGTCCAACCTGGCCTTGAACACTTCCAGGGTTGGGACATCAACAAGTTCTCTGGGAAACCTGTTCCAGTGCCTCACCACCCTCACAGCAAAGAATTTCTTCCTAACATCTAATATAAACCTCCTGTCTTTCAGTTTGAAGCCATTCCCCTTTGTACAATCACTACAGTTCCTGATGGAGGAACTGTACACCCTGTACACACTGTACAACTCTACACCCTCTTTGGAGGTGCCTTCAGGTACTGGAAGGTTGCTATGAAGTCTCCACACAACCTTCTCCAGGCTGAACAGCCCCAGCTTTCTGTCTTTCACCACCTGTAGGGGAGGTGATCTGGTCCCAGTCATGCTGATAAATGGCTGAAAATCTGTTTTGCAAGGTAGGAGTGCATATGTCAGTATACACAGGCACACCTGTGTATGAATTTAGGTGCTTTATAGGTGGTCTGCTACTCTTTCTTGCTCAGAAACATTTCTGCTAATCTAGAAAAGCTTCAACACATGGCCTTCCTGTGTCACAGTATTTGTGTGGGTATAAAATGTCTCTGAGTGCTTGTACCACACTAATACAATCACATTGAGGAAGTTTTGAAATACAGACAAGACCTCCTGTGTGAGGGAGAAGGAACACCCTCAAAAACAAATCAGGGGACTGATAGATACAAACTGTCTATGCAGCAGCCAATGCTTACTGTCTGCCTAATGAAAAATTTCTTCATATACAAAAATCAGTAAGTACCAAAATTTCTCTTTTTTATTTCCACGTCATGTCATAGCTAGAACTCATATTTCAGTTTGACAACTAGTCAAAATCATGACAAAATATGAATTCTTACTAAGTCTAGTCAAGATAGTTGGGCTGTATTAAACCTGCTGTTACAAATTATCTTTTTTTTGTGAAATGTATTGCATTTGTAATGCTGTAAAAATAAATCAGAAATTTGACACATGGTGTCGGGAGGCAAGAAATTGGGTGAGGAGAAAAGCTGAGCTGTTTAAGGATTTTCCTTTGCTCAAGAGACCTTCTGCAGCTGGAAGGTTTAAGTCTAGAAAAAATAATGTGGGAAGCAGCAACATTCTGTTTTTCCCTTGGGCTGTTTTTGCCAAAAAAGATGCAATTTCTATCAAGAGAGATAATGGCAGGTTATGTAAAACTTCAAAGCATTTTTTCCCATTGACTGAGGGGAAGGGAAATAAGAAGAGAAAGAGAAAACTGTAAAAAGCAGCCCAGAGGGCATTCTGTGCATGTGTTGGGCCTTTGACACATAAGGCAGGAGCCCAGCTCTAGGGCGGGCGTGTGTGTGTTCTCTCCCACCTGGCTGTGAGTTCTTACAGTCTGTTCTAGCATTTCTGAATTTGGAAATAAACTGTCTTCAATGCTGGAGCCAATGACTTAGTTCTCTGGTTATGTGCGTGCATATGAAATCATGCGTGTGGTATACAATCCTTGTTAAAGAAAGAAAAAAAACAGTCAAGGAACAGTCAGGAACAGAACCATACAAACTTGCTGTCAGAGGCATTTTGCTGCAGAAAACATTTTTTACCTCAGAAACAGACTAATGAGGGTAAACACCAACCCCTTTCCTAAACTGAAGCTTGTTGGTGCCTAAGTTCTCTCTAGCACTCTGCCTTTGCCAAAATGCAATGTAAATAATTATATTTTAACAAAGATCTCAGCAAAAAGGATAGAGAAGTCATTTCTTAAACTGATAGGAAAAAATGGTTTATAAAAATAAGAGGGGGATATTTTCAAACAGCTAAAGAACATCCCATGGTGTCTGGCTAGACAGTGCTTGGGAAGAGCAACCCCTGGAGAATTTCAAAGGGCTTGTTTGAAGGCTTACATCTCAGTTCACTGTACATTGAGAAAATTATGCAAAAACTATTCAAGGGTTGAGCACAAAGGATAACGATTTCCTCTTCCGATTGCATGGCCAAGAGCTCTGTTCACACTGCTCAGCTTGCTGTCCCAGAGCCGATGGCATGAGGGTAATGAACGACTCAGACCACCTACTGTTCAGGTCTGCCAGACACAGACTCCATATGCAGTTATATCCTGAAGTATAGGGCTGTCACGTACAGTAGGCAGCTGAAACATGCAGCCAAGTCTGCATGTGGAGAGTGCTGAAGAACGTTGCTAGGAGCCCTAACGTTCTTCACTGCCAGTCTGTGGAGCCATCTAAATCTGACGTTTCCCTCCCAGACAAACGAATGTCTTCCTTTTGGATAAGAATATTTTCTTTGTTGAATGAGAAAAAGATAATCATATATTTTTCTTTTTAAAAGCAATCTGTTAAGCAGCCACTGTCTGATTTCAGTTTGGGCCAAGTGCTTTCATCTGGAAGGTGTCCAAATCAGAGATCATCTTTCACATCCATTTCAATTTCTGTGGCATTGGTTCAACCAGTGTCTTAGCATGCAGCAGCCTTTGTTGTTGGGTTGTAGAGAAGCTACCAAAAGCCTATCAAAGAGCCTATGTCTGTATGTAATATTCTAGTCCAATCAGCTTTAACCTAAATTTGAAATTAGGACTCTTTAAAGAGTCAGTGATTACTTCAGTGATTATTGTTTTCACAATAATATTGGCTTATGATTTTTTTTCTATTTTAAGAGGTTCTCATGCATATACCCTGAGCAAATCCAGAGGTGGTATAGTTGTGTTCTATCAAGAGAATAAAAATCCTCAGAAGCGAGTGAAGAGGATAATTGTTGCTTTGTTCAAATAATTTTCTCTAAATCAGTTGATGTGCTTGCAAGGCAATATGAATCATTCTATTTAAAAATAAACAGAACTGGTGAAATCCCTGGATCATCCTCTCTTTTCCTTCCATGAAAGAGTGTACTCTCTCACAAGTTTCCTCACACTATTCCTTAGCAGCAGTGGTTTCATACTGCTCTGAGGGTGACAGATGGGCTTGGGGGAAATGTGTTAGCCAGGAAAAGACTTTCATTCTCCACCCTGTCCCATTTAGTGTTTATGTGTTCATTCAAGGAGAAATAATGGGACCTAGTGGAACCTTTGCAAACAATAAACAGACGAGGCACAATTTTACTGTTACCAAGCTGTGACAGATGAAGGCATGGCATATAACTTTTTTAGTATGTGTCCAACACAGACAGTTAAAGTAGGTGGAATTTAGTTCATCAGAGATTATAGACCAGAGGGAACAGTTAATGGCTGTGATTAGATGAGGAGGATTGGGGGTTTGGGGTTGTTTTTTGTGTGTGACACGAGTGTTTTTCCAATGGTGTTTTCCTCATCCAGGCAGGTATTTTCATGAACTCTGAAAGCATCCATTTAGAGGGAAGCAGGATCATCTGTGGTAGTGCGAGATAAGATAGGATAAATTAGATAGGATCAGAGCCCAAAGCATCCGAGCAGAGGGCAGTACTCCATGCCTTTGCTCGGTAGGGGATGAACACAGCTGTTTTCTAGACCAAGGGGAATCCGGGATTGAGCAATTAAGACCTTTCTGCCTTTATGTGATTCTGTTGCACAGCTCTTTCGTGCTACAGGTGGTAGAAGGACAACAAGAAGGGTGAGATGGAAGGGGTTCAGCTTCCTTCCTTGCGTAGTCTCCATCATCTGTATACCCATAAGCAGACCTGTCTATAGATGTGTTAATGGCACCTTCTATGGGGATGCAGAGAAGCAGAGCATCATACCTACTGGGTTTCATACAGGTGGTAACCAGTTTCAGTGGTTTGCCACAGCCCATCCTCTGAATGTTCACAGAGTGGTCAGAAAAAATGACCTGTAAATCCCTAATTTCAGAATGGCCTTATGTGGTTGGGTGGCTGCCAGGTGCCCACCAAACTGCTCCACCATCACACTCCCTCACTCCCTCACTCCCCCTCCTCAGCAGCACAGGGTGGGGAGAGGGAGGGGGAGGGGGAAAATAAGATGAAAAACTTACAGGTTGAGATAAAATTGGTTTAATAAAAGAAAGAAAAGGCTGACTGTGGAAACACAGTCCTGACATAGAATGATCCAACTGGCAACAGGTGTTATTTTACAGCTTGGACACTGGCGACTTGCATTGCCCCCATAAGTCAGGTTCACATCCATCAGAGCAGAGAGCAGTACTCCATTTCCTTTAATATACATACATCCATTTCCCATAATATAAACCCAAGCATTAACAAAGGATAGGGAAGCCAGATGAAGTGTGATAGTTCAGCTTACAGGGGCTTAAAGCACAACGTAGCTTTTTGGTTCTCACTTTGCAGTGGATACTACACACCCATTTCTTGATCTTGACAGGTGTGTTGTATCATCAATTCTCTACTTCTAAAAAGTTTGCTTCTTGACCTTCAGCCCAGAAATGTCGTCCTTGGCCCCTTTGTTCCTTTAAACACTAAATACTAGTTTCATAGTCAGTTCCGTCTGGCATGAAGATTGTTATCCTTCCTTACATTTTACATGATGGGCTTTTATGCCCAGCAGCTGGTACTCTTCCTGT